TATTGCATGTCATATATAATTTTATTTCAATAATATATTGAGGATAACTCTTTTTGTTGCAACAATTCACCTACGGCTAACTTAGTAAAATTGCACTGCTTAATAAGTTATAAGTTAAACAACTTTTTATAGTATAATATAGTGTTAGCACTAACATAAATAAGTCATGAAACTACGTACTAACTAAATAAGACAATTATGATTGCGTAATGTATTATAGTATAATTGTAAAATTAAGTGAAGTTAACGAGAACTTCACTTAATTTTAATAAAATACTATGTTATGTTCTGAGATGATTTGTTAATTATCTCAAACAAAAACAGATAGCGGGAAAACCCAATAAATGTCATAAAAATCCATAAGCCATAATTATATCAGAGTTGTACAAAGTCTTGATATTTTGCTACTGGTTGTCATATAATTTAAATATTATCATTTGAAATCGCAAATTCTTACAACTTGCACCACCCTCCAGTCGTAATTTCACCCATGAAATAGTTGGCATTACCAAATAGGGATTAGAAAGAGACAACACGCGTTAGAAATACACGCGGGAAAGAGAGAAAGACACATCTCCGTCCGTTGAACGCAGCTCTCGATTTTTGTAGTTTGTGTAAAATTTTGTATTATTTTCATAGAGGTAGTTGAAGGACGTGGGTTTGCCTACGTAGATTTTTTAAATATTAAATGTTTTTATTTGTAGACAACAATGTTTTCTAAATACATAAATTAAATAATATAACACAAACCATTCATTATTTGACATACAATTTAGAATTATAAACATTTAAAAATATATGTACTTTTACGTGAGTGGCTATGTAAATACCACAGAAATCTAAATTATTTAGATTTCTGTGGTAAATACCAATATCTTTTTTGTAGGACAGGGTGACAAACGAGCACACAGTCCACCTGATGGTAAGTGGTTGCTGTAGCCCATAAACATCTACATCTATCCTCGATTACGAATCAAAATGCAGATGCGTTGTCACCCGTGAGGACTAGGATGGAATACCTCGTTTCCAGTAAAAAGGGTCTCCGGTTCTCGACACTCACCATACGAAACACAACAGCTTTAAGCTACTATAAATACTACTACTATATATATCTTGACATAATAAAGTTCTCGATACGGCCTTCCTTAAAAAGAAATTCCAATTCCATCCTTTTATATTTGATAATGAAGTTAAAACAAGTTTATATATTAGTTACGTTTTGGAGGTTTTTTTCATACATACATAAATTAAAATTTTAATATACAATTAATGGAAACAGTCTTGACCTGAGCTGATGGTGAGTGGATATTGTAGTAATCTGTCACCACCCTCAAAGAAGGCTACAGGTGCGTTGTCGTTTCTGAGGACGAAATAATGAATGCCTCAAAGCTTACAAATACAATACCTACCCAGTACTCACTCAAACGGTGTCCTGGTCAGAAACGAAGTCCTATGACCTAGTAAATGGTACTAACTCTTAATGTCTTGAAAAAACAAGCAGACAAGGCTTAGAGAGCCAAAACTATCCAGACCCGGAAAAAATAATTGTCTTACCAGGAGTTTACATTGTATAGCCAATAAACAGTTATGTACACTATGCTTTATGCTACCGAGTCGTCAGTTCATCTCGGTATTTGACTTAACACAAATCTGTAACCCTGAGGTTTTTATTTATTTATTTCAATGAACAAGGATCGTAGGGTAAAATTAGATTCATTCAAATATGTATATTCTAATATTAAAATTATAGGTCATTACTCATTACGAATAATATTATATCAAATACGTAAGTATTTATAATAATATCGAAAATAAAATAATAATAAAATAACATAAATCCATTACCTAACTATGAGATTGGGACGTCAAACATCTCAGTCCCCCCGTGACCACGGGTGCTGTAACTGTAAAGCACCCGATACGTCGGGATAATAAAAATAAATTAAAGTTGAATTAAACGCGATAAAATCCGTAAATAATAGTTTTATTCAATGTGTAGTGTTCGCGTAAATTTAAGAAATCATTATAAATCCATTTCACCGTTACATACACCATATTCGATTTAATTATACATGTATATTAACATTTTAATTGATTATAATAAATTTTAAAAAATAACAAAAATGGTCACTGTCAATGATTCGACTTGATAAATTATATAATTTCCCTAAATGGTTTTAAAATTATTTTTAGATTAGTTTATTGTTAGGAAAAAATAACTAGGAAGTTGTTGTAAGATAAATGTATTGTTGATTTCGTGGACGCTCGTCAAAATATTAGATATTCGACATCGATATTAGATCACGTGTCCATTAAGTCGCTATAATTCTGTAAGCAACATTTCATGCGCAGTTAATAAACGCTGCAGTTATGTCATGTTGGCAGCACGAATGTGTCGGCTTGACCGGGCAAGGTCTACGCTCTCACATCATACAAGCAGAATGTGTTTCGTATCGTGAGTCTAGAGAACTGGAGACCCTTTTTACTGGAAAGGAGGCATTCCATCTTAGTCCTCAGAGGTGACAGCGCATCTCAGACTAAATAAAAAGTCTTTTATTTAGTCTGAGCAACGCATCTACAATTTAATTCTTAATCGAAGACAAATATACTGGTGAACTTTTTTACCGTCTAGAAAAAATAGTCTGATGTGTGTGGTATGATTTGAATTTCAATAGATTTTAATTATTTTTTTTATTTAATTCATTTTTAGTAAAATATCTGTGCCATAGGCTTCTACTCCGTTCACATGTAATGGACGACACACATACGGTCAGTTTAACTGATCAGTTCAAACTAGGACTGTTGATATTTTTTTAAATATCGTGTTTTCGATATATCGATAAATAAACTTATTTAAAAAAAAAACTCCGATATTGATATATTTATAATTATCGACATATTGAAAATCCGATATTATAAAAAATATCAACATTCTTAGTTTGAACTGATCAATTGGAAAGATCAGTTGAACTGACCGTGTGTGTCGTCCAATACACCCTATTTTTTTCCAGACGGTAAATGAGGTCATCCAGTAGATGTCTATACGCAACATCATAGCGCACACTTACCATCAGGTGGACTGCGTGCTCGTTCGTCACTCTTATTTTATAAAAAATAAAAAAAAATCTGACCAACAAAGAAAGGTACAGAGAAGCCTACGCACATTTCAAGTGAAGACTAAACCATGCTCAACTTATTGTAAAAACACACATATGCATTTATAGTTGCGACAAACTTGATTTCAAATGTATGTACAAACAGACAAACAAATTTAACTACTTATGCGTATATATTTAAAACGTTACCAGATTATTTGTGTCACAATCGCCAGTGAAATGAACGTTTGCGTAAATGTACGGACCGAAATCAATTTGATTTTTTGCTAATATTTTCGAGAGTATGTATTTTAGTATGTACTCGTATGCCTATTTCTTTGGCACGTTCTGTAACCTAAACGGGTTGATGAATTTAAACATATAGTCATTAACTTCGTCTCAATTGTCAAAGTGACATATGGTATAAAATTTTGAAGCGAAGCGTTAGAGGCAGTGCTTCACTCCCGACACGTCAAGGTCAAGCAATTTTGTGATCTTAAAACTCCTCTATCATAATCATATTTGCACTTATACGATAATATGAGCAGCCGTACATCAATAAAACACTCAAATTAATCCATATTATATTTTCTAGAAAATCATTTTGTATTACTACTTTGATAAAGCACGGTTTGAAAAAAAATATATGTGGACGTCCAGATGTCTGAACGCTGGTTTTGTACGTGGTCATAACTCCCGAAAAAATTGGCGTATCGAGACCGTGTTTTACTTATAAGCTTCAGAATAACATAAACTGGTTCTCTATTTCATATAAATATTAAATAACCTAGTACGCGTAGTTTGTTAATAAAATGTTTATTTTTTATTTCTTTATAAATTTACCTTCTACCCAATAATTTCCCTTTTATTTTATTTTTTAGCCCTTGGTAGACAAAGGAGAAAAGTAACATACAGCCTAAGTATATCGATTTTATACTTTGTTTAATCCATTTATTTTGGTAATTTATTTTTTCATCAAAATTAAATTAAAGGCTCACGAGTGTCATGAGGCGTGCACTTTTGACTTTTTTACGCAGCCGGGGTTTTTCAACTACTGCTTTAACCATAAAGCTTGTTCACTGTTAATATTAATCCCACCACTACACTGACTCGTTCGAAAACGCAACTGCCGATCTTGAGACCCGAGTTCGAATCGTGTACGATATTACAACATAGTCCGAAAAAATATGCACGGTCTTTCTATTACCAAGGTTAAATATTTTACAAAACAAAAACTGTATAAAAAGAGTTAATATAATGTAAACGAATAAATGGTTGATAATAAGCCCTTGGGAATAATGTGGTCGTCTTTCAAGCTGTTTTTTATATAATTTTTGTAAGTAGCTTGTAGAACCTGTCTTGTAGAATTTTACTTAAAAAAAGTGCCACTGGACTTCTTGCTGGTTCTTCCCAGAAAAACTTTTGGAAACTCGTGGTGAACGTAAAAAAAACTTAACAAAGATTACTTTTAATCTATAATGAATAAAAATTATATTATTCGATTCCATAGTCGGAAACTATTGGGTATTTCGGTCAAAAAATTCTCAGTTTAAAGACAGTCAGGAAGCCGGGGTGTTTTACCCCTGTGCCTCGGATACCGTAGTAAAGAAGTTTATACTAAACTTAGAAACCTGAGATCTACATATTCGCAAGAGGTTGCACGGCACGGCACAATTGAACTTACTAAACACAGCCACTAAACAGAATTGGACACTACTTACACTAAACACCTGCACTTACCACCCGAAATTACTAATCACCTGCACTCGCACTAATCAAAGTGAATACAGGTCATAACACCTAATAAAAATGAGCTTAACTTTATAGGAAATTATGCCTTAACCTAATAAACGTTTACTTTCATTCATGTTACCCTGGTACTAAGGAACACAAAACTTTACTCACCTCTCCATGTTGGCCACGGCCGTCGGGCGTGTTCTCGGGTAAGAAGTACAACCGAAGGCTGACCAGGGTCTGGTCAGAGACGCGGTCCGTCCAGAGAAGCTGCAATTCACCTGGGACAAACGAAGAGTCATTTTGGACTAAGGAAATGTTTTCTATATCATATCATGGTTGAGAGTAGCTTATTACTCCACCGCTGTTTGCATCACAAAGACCATGAATGACGTTTTTATATACAATAAGGGTGGCAAACGAACACACAGTCCACCTTATGGTAAATAAATGCTGTGGGCCCATAGACATCTACATTTAACCTCGATTAAGAATCAAAATGGAATTCGTTCTCACCTCTGAGAACTAAGATGGAATGCCTCGTTTCCAGTAAAAAAGGTCTCCGGTTCTCTACACTCACCATACGAAACACAGCAGCGTTAAGCTGCTATTTTACGCTGGTATTCTGTGAGGGTATAGTCCTTCTCCGGTAGAGTCGACCCATTCGTGGTACATCATAATATAGCAGCGTGTTTCTACCACGTTTCTAAAATTAAGTATTTTGTATATTATGCATATTAATTTCAATTGTATTAAAATTGTCTATAATAATGCGAGCCTTCTAAGCCAAGACATAACTGAGAGATAACTTATTATTGAAAATTGAGTTATATTGATATTGCAATACAGTTTAAAAACACTTGAACAACACGCTATAACAGTTAGCTGATCGTTATGAGAACACTAGGTCATGGTCGTGAAAATACTGTATCGTCATTGCTTCTTAATACGAACTTAATAAAACACATTTCAGATTATTTAGACGTCCGAAAGTAAGTGAATACGGAATTATAAAATTCCATAACATTACCTACAATACTTACACACATGCCTTTTTAATTATTTTAAGCCAATGTTTATTATTCCTGATACAATATTACTCCGAATGGTAAATGGTGAATGGTGATGCAGCCGAAGATAGTAAAGCGACCAGCCTTAGCTTAACAAACTTGTCTTGGAGACTCTTGTATGCTGGCAAATTATTCCATTACTTAACTGTACGCATATGAACGACGAACCTTTTAAATCGAATGCGTGGTAGATCGACAATGAACGTTTGAAGACCACCGTCTGGTGTCGGAAGATATATCGGAGGAAAGCTAGAGTTAAAAAAAAGTTTTAGTAGTAAGAATATCAGACCATAGTCATGAAATTGTTGTATTGTAATTTTTTATTTAATTTTAAACGTTACATTTACACTAGGATGTTCTCTCGTATCGTGACGGCAGGATACTATATCTAGGGCAGGCAGACTAAAATACATAAGTCAAAAAGTCACACTTTTTGGAATAAGGAAAAACTAAATAAAAGAATACCGTTAAACTATAAATTCAAATTTATTGGAATATTACGATGTTTATAATTCATATACTAACATGCACGTAAATATAATTCGACATTTAATAAAACAATATAATAAAACGCGATTTTAGTGACTTATATTAGAAAGAACACTATGTATGTTACTAGTAGATACTTGTGATTTAAAGTGTATGAGAACAGTACGTTTCATTATAAACTAAATTTTTTTTGACAAATCCAAGCTACTTCTATAAACTTAAAATAATTTACCATGTATCATTTATTAATTTCCCAGTGGGAAGTTATTGTAATGCGGACCCATTTTGCAAGTTGTAAATTTTAACATATCTCTACGTTTCAAGGTCTCTGGAGTCGAAGAGTACGGTTTTTAAGAGGATGCCCGTGTATGCACATGTACGTGTATATGTATGTATATACGGATTCAATTTTCCCCTCGTGTATCTCGAGAACAAAGAGTGATATTGACTTGGGACCAGTTTCACTTAACTCATAATTATGTAACTTAGACCTCATAAAATTTTGAGCAAAATCAGTCATCGTTTTTTGGTACCAAATGAAAAATTGTATAAAATATTAAAACATGATATTTTTTTTATTCTTTCCACTGCGAAGTTAGTCGTGTGGATCTTTCTGGTCTCACCTAGACCGCTTTTATACTATTTATTCATCTTCTTTACTATCTAAAATATCAGGGTCAGTATTACGTACATTGTTTACAGTAGGCAAATCTAAATGAAATCTATGAAAAACGTCGGGTATCAAGGAGAGTGAAGAAATCAGATCATTTTTTTTTGATATCGGTAAGAGCTGTTCCCATCATCACCAACTCAACTAATTTGTTGCCTCGCTGACAATTCATAGCAATGGGGAATATTTTAAACTAAAATATCACACACCACAACTGTTCTTTCTATTAGCAATCAGAGCAAAACTAACTCGACTAGCGACTCAAATCTTAACACCTTATTTTTTTCTTAGCAATAAATAATGTTTTGGGTACCTACCCCCATTGTTAAACATTGACATAACGCGACGCACTTAAAGTTCCTAATAACATGCGCCACTTTCCGTCCGTCCGAGAGCGTTAACATAACTCAATTAGAATTTTGTATAACGTCGCAAGATTCATGGGAATCAAGCGGTTGAAAACGCCACTTGAGACTCAAACCCTACCAAGCGAACTGACTTATGTATAGTCTGCTGATGTATTGATTTAAAATTATAATTTTGGTACCAATAAAAAATAAAGCAATTTTTCGACTTATGTGCTTTTGTCCGCCGACTCTAAATATATTGCACAAGGACGAACATCCTAACTTACAACTGAACACTGAACTAAACAAAACTTATAAAATTACATTACATACATACATACAACTCAAGCTTGCAATAAAATGTTACTTTTACTAAAAAGTAAAAGGCAATTTAAACAACTAAAAAAATAATAATTTCACATCCCGAATGATTTTTCTTATATTTACGCGAACATTGCACATGATTAAAACTACTTTTACGGATTTTATCGCGTTTATTTTTACTTTTTATTTTAATTCCCGACGTTTCGGACACTTTCCAGCACCCATGGTCACGGGGGACTGAGATGACTGACGTCCCGATGTCACCGTTAAACCCGGAGTACCTTCAGCTTTTTTTTTTAAATTATTGTTTATGGTATATAAACAATAATTAAAAAAGTACTTCAGCTTTTAATTATTGTTTATATACCATAAAATAAGCTGAAGGTACTCCGGGTTTAACGGTGACATCGGGACGTCAGTCATCTCAGTCCCCCGTGACCATGGGTGCTGGAAAGTGTCCGAAACGTCGGGAATTAAAATAAAAAGTAAAAATAAACGCGATAAAATCCGTAAAAGTAGTTTTAATCATTCACATCCCGAAGTCGACGCCTGGTCATTATTACGTATAAAAGAATTAAACTTTTTACAGTTTATTGAAGGTTAATCTATTATACCATTTTGAGTGGACTATCACGTTGTCAAAGTAGTCTCTATAGTTATATAAAAAAATTCACAGTATGGTGTCGACACACATTTTGTTTTCTAACGTACTGAGAATACACTGAACGCCCCCCGTAGTAGGGTAGGTAACGCGAGTATTTGATTTGACATTTGGAGAAGTTTTTGCACTTCCCTAAACCCCTGAACGATCAGCAAGTACCATCCACCATTGCCACTTCAGCCTTTCGCAAGTCCAATGATGAACACAGGTCTCACCCAAGGAATTCCACAAAGCACAGTCCTAAGCCGTGGTAGCTCAGATGGTTAACGCTCGCTGTAAATATAACAGAACGCGAGTAACCCGGGTTCGATCCCCGCCGGCACCAATTATATTGTTAATTGCAATTTTAAGTGCTGATATGCCACGTGCTCGGCGGTGAAGGAAAACATCGTGAGGAAACCTGCATGTCTGAGGAATAAGAAAAAAATATTTCGAAGACATGTGTAGTTCGCCAACACGCATTGCCCTAAAACTCAGAAATAAGAGGAGGCCTGTGCCCAGCAGTGGGACGTATATAGGCTGTAACATTACTTTACTTTACTTTTACAGTCCTAAGCCACCTGCATCCATCGACTTCCTGCATGTCTTACCAGATCGGCACCTCATCTAGTGGGGGGTCGCCCTACACTTCGCCTACCGGTACGAGGCTGCCACTCGAGAACCTTTTTTCCCCATCGGTTGTCGGTTTTTTGAGCTATATGGCGGGCCCATTTCCACTTCAGCTTACTAATCCGTTGGGCTATGTCGGTCACTCTGGTTCTGCTGCGGATATTCTCATTTCTAAGTTCATCACGCAAAGAAACATTCGTAGTATATTTCAAAATATTTATTGAACTATCCTTAAAGTATTAAACCTATATATTATTAAAAAAAGAATCATCAAAATCAGTTAATTTTTAAAGAAGATATCGCGTAAAAAACACAAAAAAGGGGAAAAGGTTAACCTCCTTTTCTGAAATCGGCTAAAAAGCGTGCCAATAAACAATGTAACCGACAAGGGTTTTTTTTTATAGGATAAGGGTGACAAACGAGCACACAGTCCACCTGATGGTAAGTGGTTGCTGTGACCCATAGACATCTACATCTATCCTCGATTACGAATTAAAATGCAGATGCGTTGTCACCCGTGAGGACTAAGATGGAATGCCTCGTTTCCAGTAAAAAGGGTCTCCGGTTCTCTACACTCACCATACGAAACACAGCAGCGTTAAGCTGCTATTTCACGCTGGTATTCTGTGAGAGCGTGGTCCTTCCCCGGTCGAGCCGACCCATTCGTGCTACAACTATACCAGTAATATACCTGCAGCATGACTCTACCACGTACAAACGTTTTTACTGGAAACAAGGCATTCCATAGTCTTCATGGGTGACAACACATCTGCATTTTGATTCTTAATTGAGAATGAATGTAGATGTCTTTGGGCCACGGTTTCCAGTTACCTTACTGAACCATGTGCTCGTTTGTCACCCTTATGCTACAAAAAAAAACAGCAAGTTAACTGTTATTTTTGTGACAACATGATTGTAACAAAATGGACACTTACCAATGGACACCAGCTCGGAGTCCTGCCAAATCCTCACGAAGAAGAAGTCGCCGATAGCGACGATTCTCTCCCGTTTCCCGGTCAACCTGATAGCCTTGTAGAACGTGTACTGTCCGTGCTGGCCGCATGGAGAACCCACCAGCTAGAAATAAATAATCACCATTTATTATTACGATACTATATGACTGACTCGTTGGTCCAGTGGTCGTTAACGCAGTTGCTAACCATGAGGTCCTGGGTTCGAATCTCGGGTTAGACCAAAATCATTAATTAGGTTTTTCGGAAAGCTAGTAAAGCGGTCGGTCTAGCGCCTGATTTCTCTCCGCTCGTGTCGGAGAACCGTCTCATCGGACGATGACAGTGTAGAAATAGAGAGTGCGGCTGTGCTTGTACATAGATTCAGGCACTATAATTCTGTTCAGGCGTAGATGGCTAGTCTCCATTAAGAATATCCGTCTATATCGAAACTAAGTCTGGGGGATATTTAGCGTCGTTTTTTTATAGGATAGGGTGACGAGTACACAGTCCACCTGATGTTAAGTGATTGCTGTGGCCCTTCGATCAACAATACCAAGTTGGTATTGTTGATCGAAGCTGTGGCCCATAGACATCTACATCTATCCTCGATTACGAATCAAAATGCAGATGCGTTGTCACCCGTGAGGACTAAGATGGAATGCCTCGTTTCCAGTACAAAATGTCTTCGGTTCTCTACACTCATCATACGAAATACAGCAGTGTCAAGCTATTATTTTACGCTGGTATTCTGAGGGCGTGGTCCCTCCCCATTCGTGCTACAACTTTACTACTAATATAACTGCAGTATGGCACTACCACGTATAAAACTATTAGGAAGACGGAAGACGCTGCTGCCTAGCTCCTGATCTGTTCCCCTCTGTCGCCTCTTACGACACCCACGGGATGATATGCGGTAGTGGATATTCTCACACTGCCACTACACGGTGAGTCTCCTGAGTATTACTGTCACCACATAGCATAGCCTTCACTGTTGTGATTTAGTATGGAGGGTATTGAGAGCCATGGTCATTACACGCTGTAATATATTCCATCTCAGTCCTCACAGATGACAACGCATCTGTAACCTTCGTTTGAATTACTGACCATTAAATTACTAATAAGAAACAAATGAAGTATTTATTAGTGATTTTTTGTTTTATTTTTGAATAATCAAATTTTAAGGGGTTTTACGTTACATTAAAATAAATAGAGAGTTGAACATATACGACAAAACGTACAGGGAGTGTTAAAACCTGATACTAAAGTGGGTGCAGCCAAAAACCTATGAAGAAACCAAATTTCTGCTGTACCGCATTTCATAATTCGGTGTTATGTACAATATAATATAACAAAATAATTATTTCTCTACACACACACGCACGCACGCACGCGCGCATATACACTTTTGTAATTTTTGTAAACTTTGGTTGTTAAAATAGAGTAAGTTAGTTTTTGTCATTTTTGGTTTTTTAAATTAAAACATTTAGATGAGGAAGAGCGGGGTTTCCAAACACAGGCATTGCTTGCTTAAATGGAGAGCCCCATCAACTATGTAATTAATTTAAGTTTTGTGAAGAAAATATTTTTTTATTATTTTTTTTTACATTTATTTAAAATCCTATGGTTTGACGTCTTTTACAGCAGTAGTAGCAGTACACCCCCACCTTTATTAATAACTATCATCCTTTCTCCACACAATGATTGTATCATATCTTTTGAATTTTATAGATTTACTTATCCCATGCCAATAATTATTATTGTGTAACGGCGCTGTCGTCGCGCCACAAGCGAAACACATCGAGGCCTAAATCGCGCTATCAAAGATCCGAATTAAAAACAGTATAAATATATAGAAGAGCGCTGCCGCAATAGCATTGCTTGTACTGGTGTGTTCCGATCTGTATTTCTGAAGGGTTTAGAGACAAGGGTTGCCAGATGGTCGAGACTCGTCTGGATTCTCCCGACATTTCAAATGATCTCCAGATTCCCGACAAAACTCAAAATCTCCAGACAAACACTTTCTCGGAAAGTTAACGTATGGTCTTTGATTTCATATATGCTGAGATAGTGATTAGACTGAACTTTAAAGTAAATTGTTTGAATTTTAAGTCTACTGAATACTACTAAAGCAGCCTAATTAGTGGACTTAGTAAAGCCCAATGTCAAATACATGTGGCAATCTAAATCTTTTTTACGTGGTAGAGCCATGCTGCAGTTATATTAGTAGTATAGTTGTAGCACGAATGGGTCGGCTCGACCGGGGAAAGACCAAGTTCTCACAGAATACCAGCGTCAAATAGTAGCTTAATGCTGATGTGTTTCGTCTGGTGAGTGTAGAGAACCGGAGACCCTTTTTACTGGAAATGTGGCATTCCATCTAGTACTCAGGGGCGATATCGTATCTGCATTTTAATTCATAATCGAGGATAAATGTAGATGTCTATGGGCCACAGCAACCACTTACCATCAGGTGGACTGTGTGCTCGTTCGTCACCCTATCCTATAAAAAAAAATTAAGTATAACTCATATTATAGTATTGTTTTAAAGTTTTTTTTGTAGTCTCTGTTAGAAAAATAAACTTTTTATTTTTAATATTTATTCCATCCGACAGCAACTCCAAAAACGCCGAATTTTTGAAAATTTGTCCAGATATTTTGGTCTAACGATCAAACCTATAGTCAACCAAATCTAAGAAATACATTTTGACAGCTGTCAGACATATTCCACCAAACATGCCAACCAAAAATTGGAAACTTACAATATTCGATTCTTAAAAAAAATCGATATAGATTATTTAGAATTGGTAATAAATAAAGATTATTATCACTTTCTTCGTATTTGTGGTTATTGCTTATTACTAGAGGCACAGGTATAAAAATTTTAAATTGAAACTAGATAAAAAATAAATTTATTCAATCACTTTCAGGTAAAAAATAAATTTATTCAATCACCAACTAGTTGAGCTATCGTTGTTTAGATTAATTATTATTTGATTTTAAATAATGCAGTCAAAATTAATGTCTTTTTCAAAGTCATCCATAATCAATATTTTCGTTTTTTTTTTTACCACTTTTGCCCAATCATCCTTTGTGACATGGGCACATGCTTCAACGAATACAGAAGAAACAGTTCAAAAAGTTAAAACTGAATCACAAATTAAGAAGACAAACACAAAATCACTAAATTATGCACAGTAAGCTCCCGAAATGGCGGGTGATTGAAATTGCGTAGTGGTTTTTTTAGCGCGGCATGTATAAAATAAACTTGTGTTATTCATGATTCATGTAATTTAAAGAATTTTAAAAATAAAAAAATAATTAAACAATTACATAGCGACATATTATTGAAACGACGTCAAGTAAAAAAGTTGATACTGGTTTTTTTTTTCAATGTTTTGCTTTATTTGAAAGATTAGAATTTAATGATAAAAAACTATACACGTTGTAATGAAATATAGATTACTTCATAATTCTTCGGATTTACGTAAAAGGTTATTTGAAATCGTGTGAGTACGCTTGTACAAAGTTATTGCGGAATGATTAATGTGAAACGTCAAAAGGTATTTCTTAGATTTGGTTGACTATAATAGAGCCTCAGTATAATTACACGCTTTAAGGTATTCCATCGAGCGCGCTTTCTTATTGGATGCAAAAATGAAGCCACATATCTTAGCCTCCCCCCCCCTCTCAGTGCATGCGAAAGGGAAAACAGATGGGATGGGAGAATGTGCCGTTTTCCGCGCAACCAACACCTCACTCTCTTCAGGAGTGACAACGCATCTGTAACCTTGAGCCTGTAGCTTTAGCTGCAGGTGTCCCCGGATTGTAAGTTCGTTGTTCCTCCAATTTCATTTAGAAAAACTTTCTTTTTTACATTCTCCACTTTCCTGTAAACGTTTAATTAATAAGTACCTACATAGTAAAACCTTCGTTAAATAAACACAACCGCGATTCACACTCACACACGCAATTGTGATACCGTTATGCGGAAGTGTGACGCAAGCAGAAGTTATTGTATAAATAACACACATATTCTTTAATTTTTCATTACATCCTGTCAAAGGTCCACCGCTGAGTATAGGCCTCTACCATTATTTGCTTTATGGGAGGGATATTGGCTTTAATTCGCACGCTTGGTAAACGAGTGGGGGTAGCCGCAATTTTTTTTATAATTTTGAGCTGTTATCAGAAAGATGCTATTGCCCATCCTGTCTCATATCCCTGTATCACCTCCAACGACACCCACAGGGTGATATGTAGTAGTGAATATTCTGACATCGCCTCTAAACTGTTTAATATATGTTAAAGTATTATACATATATAATAACAACCTTTAAGTAATAAAAAAAACTTAATTAAAAGTAAAAGACAACTTTAAACAACTTAAAAGAATAAAATAATTTTCACATATCAGCTCCTGAAGTCGGCGCTAATATGTATAATTATAGTAATACATGATGCTCACACTCCACCTGATGGTAAGTGGATGCTGTGACCCATAGACATCTACATCTATCCTCGGTTAAGGATCAAAATGCAGATGCGTTGTCACCCGTAAGGACTAAGATGGAATGCCTCGTTTTCTGCAAAAAAGGGTATTTGGATCTCTACACTCACTAACGCTAACGTAACGCTACGCTCACGCTAATTCACCCATTCGTGCCACAACCATGATATAACTGCAGCGTAGAGCCACGTGTAAATTAAAATACCGACCGTACAAAGCGTGTCTGTCTGTGTCATCATAGCTCCTGAACGGAGGGAAGAACTGATTTATATTAAGTTTATTTCATAATGATTTCTTATATTTACGCGTTTTATTGCGTTTAATTTATTTGATTTTTGATTACCGACGTTTCGGATGCTTTCCAACACCCATGGTCACGGGGCTGAGGTGACTGACGTCCCGATGTCAATGTTATCCCGGAGTACCTATAGCTTTTTAATAAATGTTTATGATTCGGACTACGCGTACACATAGATCGAATCAGATGCTGGAAAGCACCCGAAACATCGGGAATTAAAATTCAAATAAACTAAACGCGATAAACTCCGTAAAAGTAGTTTTAATCAATGTAAGTTTTATTTCGTTTAAAAGGTATTTCAATCGAGAGTGATCTTAGA